AGTACTTTCAAATTAAATTACTCATGTACAATTTATATTCATTGCAGCAGTAGCCTAGCAGTTCACTTCAGATTGTGACTTACAACATAAGTCGATCACTAAAATAGCAGTAGACGTTGATGAACTGACATACTTTTCCTCCCCACTCTTTCAAATCAATAACGTTTAATGTTTTGATGACAGAATGAAACAAAGAAAAAATAATCATCTACTCAAACATTCTGAGCATAGCAAAGTAGAAAATGCTCAACCATATGTTTGAAAAAGACAGGGTGAATGTCAGTTTCATACTGAAACACCAATATGATCACTTCACGTCTCTCTCCCTCTCATGAGGAGACAAACGATTACAGACCGGGGATTCCCTAAAACGGGGAAACACCTTATTAATATTGATGACTGCAATTACAGATCTGAAAAAATTAGAATAAAACATCTATAATAAAAGGAAACATAGTGTACGATCGCTCAGTTATAATCAGTAGAGCAGTGGTTAATATTGAAGGCAACATTGGTGGGCTACTGAAACACTACTGAATTCAGTAGGATCGATCAACAGTCGATTCACTATTGAAGAGCTGTTCAAATTAAAAAAGCAAAATGGCGGCGCACATTGAACGTAATCACGTGACATGCAGTATATAAAATTGAGTAAATTTACTAATTTAAAGCGCAGAAACGGGCGACACGATATTTATTTTACAATTTATAGAAACTAAAACACCTAAGAAAAGCATTGTGCCTAGTGAGGACAGTCTCTATACATCATTTTGTACATTCGAACGAGAAGCGCCTATTTCATAATGACAGCCATTTTGTTTAGAAGGGTTAGAGTGAGCGTTCAAGACTTACCGACTCTTCTTCCTTTTCCATCCCGGTAGGCATTTGTGGCACCGATCTATTAATCGTTGCAAAATCTGGTAAATCCGGTATTTCCTCCGCCCGAAAAACGGGCATCGGCTTGGAGGAATCCAGAGCCCTAGCTCTAAAAGACACCTTACTCATAGTGATGACCCCAAATATGCTAATGAGATGGTCCAAAAAGTAGCTTCGCTACCACATCAAGGTGGCAGAACGTAGGACTGTGTGATATATAATAAACGGTAGAATCCAGCAGCATGAATAATATTTAAGCAGTGAAATCAGTACTCCGCTTTTCGATAGATTTCCCGGCAGTCCATCTACTTGTTTCATATTTGCACGGAATAGTCGCTTTCATCATGGCGGACCGAAGGCCCATCAACTTCTCCCACAATCCCCTGCACGCGTGTCTGCGCGCGCAGCTTGTTTCATTCAGGCTCGGCCCTTGTCTACCGGCGGGAGAAATGTAGAACTGCTCAATCAAACAGATGTACAAACAAGCAAATTTGCTCTACTTTCTTCTTTCAAACCGTCAATTATTTTCTAGTCGAACACAAATAAAAATTATTTAAAACGAAAAAAATCATCATTCATCTCCAGCTAGCCGATCTCGCATTTTCTGCTCTTGTTCGACATTATTTGGTAGCAGCCGGAGGATGTTGTGGAAAGACAGCTGGCTTGGCTGACGAAGGAAGAAAGAAAGAAGATTCCGATAACAATACAGCCCACTACTACTATTACTACTACTGCTGTTTACGTTTTACGCGTGTTGAGAGGTCAAAATAAGCAGACAATAGTAAAAATTAAGATATTTATTTACTTTACTCTCTACAAAGATGACAAGACATATTTTACAAAGTACTTAGAACGACCGCTAAGACGAACGACATTTTTCCTTTTTTAAAATCCAGTTTTCTTTTTTCACCAGTTTCCTACTTTCTGTGACTGAGCATCATCAACACTGGATTAAAAAAAACAACTTTTTTTGCGTGAGAAGAAGATAGGATTAATTAAATAAATGCAATATAGAACCAGTTCAACACTGACAAAAAAAATAAAATCACAAATTATTGCTTGCGATGCTTGTTTTTTTCTTCTTTTTTTTTATAGACTGACCGCTAGTTGCTAAAAATATTTTTACACTAGTTTAGTAAGTTTGAAACAACGTTTTTTTTTCTGGTCTCTGACGATTTTTGGCTGTGATAACGATGGAACCTCAAATATTTCGGCCTTCTGACCTCTTCTCTGTTTAGAGTGAAATAAAGTAGAGATAGATTCAGCCAGTCGTATCAAAGTAGGCGACCGACGAACAAACTGAAATTTTTATTTCCACTATTAAATGAAATTCTCTTGCTACTCGTATTTTTCATCCTTCTTTATTAAATAGATCCATTGATGTATTTAAAAGATAAAATTATTCAGCCTCTCATCACCACGAAAAGTATTACTGTTTGTTTTGTTTTTTAAAATAAAAGTAACGCGTTAATGCTTATGCACGCACGTGTGTCTTTTCTCCATACTCTTCTTCGTTATATAGCAGCAGCAGCTCGCTTTTCACCTCGAGTCCGTTAAACGAGAGGGAGAGGAAAATCAAATTACATTACAAACATTTATTGTCATCTCTCTCTCCCCACCTTTTTTTTTTTTTTTAAATAAGAAAACTGTAAATTTGTATTGCATTGTGTGTGTAGAGCAATAAAAAGCAATAAAAGCGATTAGTTTAAGTTTTTCTATATTGAAGCATCGGTAACAAATTTGAACTTTAGTGTCGTTACATAGTGTACTGTAGTGTACTTCAATAATACAGCAGTCGTACTCTTTTAAAGTGAGTTTTAACCAAACTCCAATGTACACATGGTCGAAAAGCGCTTTTTACTGTTCATTATCTTCATATTCGTTTATTTATTATTTTTAACGTATTATTGTGACGCAATTTTTTTTTAAAAATGAGGAATATTATTACAGATATTTTTTGTAATTACTTTTTAGCACAAGCGGCTGTTATCTGGAGTTGGAAAATTGTGCATAATGAGATATATAGACAAATGGTACATTTAAAGGTAATAAATATGCTAATAATTCATATAACAAAACTAACCTGTTGACTGACAGATTGATCCCAATATTGAAAATAAATTGAAGTTTTGAAATATATAAGAAATCTATCGACGTTATAATGTTACTACCAATTAATGAGAAATGATTTCAATAGACATTTATTAAGTTGTGACACAGTCAAAGCGTCTGGTGTTCAGTTAATACGAGTATTTTAATAAAATATATACAATAATTTTATATATTTTGCTTCCAAATTGGTAAAAAGTATTTTTATGCATGCTAGTCTAAAAATATTTACCTAAGCCCATTTTAAATTTATAAAAAATCAGTTTTAGAAAATAAAAATGTGAAATAAGTAAAAAGTACACAAAAATACTTTATTTTTAAATCTGACGGTCTTCACTAGTTGTAAGCCTTAGATTATATATTAAAAACAATTTTACATATTTTTTTCTTTTCGATCACTGCTATTATATAGTGTAGAAATTTTATTTTCTAAAATGCTAAACACAAAAATAGTTTTCATAAAATTCCAAAATAGTTTAAAGTGAACCACGCCAGAGCGCATGCGTAACTGAGCAACTCCGTCTGCTATGAAAAAGAACGTTTTGCACTGTGAGAAGACTGTTCATAGCCCATTTAGTTCATCTTCAAAATTGTCTTTTCTCTCGTTATCGTACGCCTGCTTTTTAGAATTATTCTTACCTCAACTTTAAAAATACTTGATTATTTTCCTTAAACTGTTTTACGCAAACTGATTTCGGATGTGTGCCTGTTCATATTAAAAATAAAGACTGAAACTCCCACAAAAAATAGCAAAGGAAGCCAAATTTAGGTTAAGCAAAGCATCTATCTTATGAGGCAAGATCAGTTATCGCATTTGCATTGTAACATACATCTACATTTTCTCTTCTTTCTCATTTTTAAATAAATATGGGACACTAAGAGGCTTATATGACATTTATATTGAATAGAATATTGAAAAAAGACATAAATGTAAATATCCCAAATAAATTAATGAAATTTTTTTTAAATTTCACAACTTTGAATTTAAGACTTACTAAAAAAGTCAATGATGATCATAAAAAATCAAATAAATGCATATTAAATTTATTAAATTTAAATTTTCAATATGCAATTTAACAGTAACTGCCTTCAAATGCAGATAGATAGATCTGAACTGGCAAATAGGTAGGTTTGAGCACAGTGATGGATAAACAGGTTAGTTTGAAATAGATCTGAACTGATATAGAATGAATAGAAAGAGAAGATTTAAATTTTGCAATAACTTATTGCTTTCAGATCATCAAGGTGTAAAACTACAAGGTATTAGAATCCTATATAAAATATATGTTCTTCCTACATATAACAGTTGAATATGCTTTTTTGAGATCTCATGTTGTATGAATAAATACACATGGAGAGATATAAGGTAGATATAACTTGATAACTATATGCATAAAACTTAGATCTGTATCAATATGTATATATTTATGATATAGTCTTTGAAATAGAGTGAGATAGATAGATATGAAAACATTTTTAATCAATTCACCTCAAGCAAGGCGATAATGCCATTATGATTCAAGTGGCTACTGGAAGTGAAAGAGAATGAAAAGACATTAGAAGGAACCAGAAACCCAATCCTAAACAAGAAATGGGATAAACCTCTACTCCTGTTCAAAAGACCAGAGTGAGAATGAGATAAATGAACATGCAAATAGAGAAAAAAAATGTATTTTTATTGTTTTATTTATTAATGTTTGTAAACATTCAACAATAACTTGAATAGCCATATCAAAGTAAATAGGATTGATTGATTTGAATTTTATGGCTTATCAACCTTTTGTAGATTATTTAAAGCCAGAAAATATTTTTAGATTGTAATAATTTTGGGGAGATAATAATGGTTTGCTGATACAAGTTCTACTAATTAAACCATAACTGATGGGGAAAAAAGTGGATTCATACCTTTCCCAAGGGTATTTACACATAAGTGAATATAATGAACCCAATTGGAATTGGAACTCGGCACTCCAATTTCAGATCCATTATCCATTACACCACCAGCACATCTAACCTTACAGTATCTGGTAATCCCAAGAGGTCGCCCATCTAGGTACTGACCAGGTTCAATGTTGCTTAACTTCAGTGAACATATGAGAACTGGTGTTTCAATGTGATATGGCTGTAACTCCAAAGTAAATAAGAATTTAATTTTTTAGCAAAATGGCTTATAATGTTGATCCTTTAGCTTTTATAAAATAAATATTTTGTGGGAAAATATCCAAATGCAAATGATTTATTCTTTAAACCATTTTTAATAGCAAAAATGAAATTGCTCCATAAGAGATATAAAGTGCTTTCCTCTTATATATTATGCTAAAAAATTAACCAGTTTTAACATGGCAACTACATTTGAAACCACAGCACTTCCTGTCAAGTGCCTTAAACATTAAAGGCTGCAAATGTTTAAAAAGAAGTTTTTGTATTTGATTAGCAGAAGCATTTATATTAAGAAGATAGATTTTATGTATATTCCAAATTTTTGTTATATTTGAGAATATATCCATTTTTATTATTACTGCTAACAGAGTCAGTAATCTTATAAGATTATTTTTAGTGATTCTGCCTAGGGGTTGAGTATCTGTGTGCTCTCCTTAAGATCAGAGTGTAATATCTGTGCACAGGGCTGGAGAAAGTGTCCCATGCCCCCCACCCATCTATAATACGAAGGCCCCCACTTTACCACTTCTCAATTTTCACAATAAACTAAGGTAATAGCTTTCATATAAAATAAAAATTTTATTGTCATTATGTAAAATAATGGATCATATGCAATATAGGTGAACAATTTAGATAGAAAAATTGAAAATAAATACAATGTATCTAAATACAAATTAGAGACATGTCATAATATATCATTCCATCTTAAATAAATCAACAATGTTTTGCATCAATCTTTAACATTAACTTGAAATTTTTCCTTTTAAAAAGTTGAATAATTTTAGCACATTCAACATTATGGATAAAAACAGTGAATTTTATATAGTGCTTTTTGGAACTAAGCATGAGCAAAACAAATTCACAGATTTGGATGGGAAAAAAGACCCCAGAATGACATCAAAATCCATGAAAATTTTTCATCCTTTAATAATTGTGCTCAGTTTAATTTGTAACATATATAAGTGTAAGTAGAGAAAAGTAAATATTGATAAGATAGGGAGGGTCACAAAGCACTGTCCAGGGGCCCCAATCAGGATTGCCTCCCCACCAGACAGGGTGTTTGGGTATAGTATACACAGTCCCTGTGTTGTGAACTTAGTGAAAAGTGTTTTACACTCAAAAATAAACACTCTCACATATTTGATTATATATTTCATTTTATATGTGTAAATTATCATTTGTTTAATCAGTGGTATGAAAAGGATGACTTCAGTAATTTTGTAGTTACATAGTAATCTCAAAAACTTCATGCTGCTCTGAATTTTCTTGTTTATATTCAATATTTCCTGAATTGGAAATTAAAAGCAAAATTAAGTCAAGATGAGAATTGATCCTCTACCTTGTCCCCATGTTATAAATGTATGAGATCAAAAACTTCATGTTGCTCTGAATTTTCTTGTTTATGTTCTGTTGTATTGTGTTGTTCTACAACATGTGATCAGTAGTCAATTTCCACCTGTCTCTTTTTTTACTATACAATTTATTTCTCTTCTACTTATCATATGCAAATAGGTACAATCCTATTTTCCAATCTACTATGTCTCCTTTTATTTTTTCTATCTTTAAATTTAATGACAAATAGGCTCATGCTATTAATGTGTGCATATTTCATATGAACCTGAGATCATGGTTCTATTTCTTTAGGCCATGAGTGTATTCTCCTTTGTTAAAAATTATTTATTTCTGCACATTTTCTTTCTATTTTGTGACAATACCCTGGCCACCATGCCTCCAATTTTAATCTTCTCTGTGTAGCCACAATGCACATCATTATGTACACTTTTAAAAACATCTTTTCTTACTGTTTCTAATGGTACTATCACATCTCTATTGCACATAACACCATTTTTTTCCATTGTTTATTTATGCCTTATTTCTTTATAATGTCTTTCAGCTTTGGAAAAATTATTTCACCTGTTTCTTATTCTCTCAGCAATCTTACTTAATATTGGATCTTGCAGAGTTTCCCATACCAATCTTTGTAGAGATAATATGTCAGTTTCAACCCAATATAATATTTCTTCATCCAGGATTTGCATTTTTCTTTTTGGTCCTTAATTTAATAAATTGTAACCTTGACAGCACATAGTCATGTGGTATTGTATTTCATTTTACATACTCAATGTCAAAATCATAAGCCTATTTTATTGGCCACCTTAGAATCCTGAAAGAAGTAACTTTTGGTAGCTCCTTTCTAGGGTTAAAAATAAACTCTAGAGGTTTATGGTCCAACTTTAACTTCTTACCTAATAAAAATTGTCAACTTCTGTGCTCTAGACAATGGCCAATGCCTTTTTTTCAATATTTGAATAATTTATTTCTGCTGCTGTCAATCTTCTTGAATTGGCTGACCTTCTTATGATAAAATTGCTGACACAGCTCACCCACTCACATAACGTCCTTTCTGTGATCAAAGAATTTTACAATGGGTTTTTCTGCATGTATCTCTTTTAAATCCTTGAATGCTAAGCTTTGCCTTTGAGTCCATTTGAATTCACTATTCTTTTTTCCACAGTTCAAAAAATGGTTCTGTTAAGTTGCTGTATTTTGGTAGGTATCTATTATAAAAATTAACCAATCCTAAAAAGGATTCTAATTCTTTTTTTATTAGTTGGTATAGATACGTCTGAAATTTTCTTATTTAACTTTGGATCTGGTGCAATGCTATCTTTTGAAATTTGCTACCCTAAATATGATCACAATCAAATTCACATTTGTCTCTATTTATTGCTATTCCTGATTTTTTTTACTTGTTTAACACATGTTGTGTTTTTTGTCTTAAATCATTTTTAGTGGTAGCACCAAGGCAAATATCATCATGATAAATAATCATATTACTGATTTTATCAGTTAACATATATTCCATTACTCTCAGAAAAATGGCACTTTCTGTTTTCACTCCAAAAGGTATTTCATCCATTTTCATATATATATATATATATATATATATATATATATGTATATATATTTATATATAGTTTATTGTGGTAATTTTCTTGAATTTATCATCAATCTGTATTTGATTGTTGGCCAATTTTAAATCCTTTTTTACAATACATTTCCTGCCTGATAATTTGTAGATAGCAGTTTCAATATTGGCAATAGGAAAAGAGCCTGAGCTTATTTTATGATTTATGCCTATTTTAAAATCACCACATATTCTGAAATCTCCATTTGCTCTTCGCAAAGCTACAATGGGAGAGGCCCATTTACTGCCACTTGGAGGAACATGCTCCAAAACTCCCTCCACTAATGTTTTCTTTAACTTAGCAGGTGAAGGTGAATAGGTAATTTACAAGATTCAAAATAAGAGGGGGTAAATGTATGAAATCAAAAACTTTATTTTGCTTTGCATTTTCTTGCTTATGTTCAATATTTCCTGAATAGTAAACTAAATTAAAAGTAAATTTAGTTAAAGACAATAATTAATCCTCTGCCTTTTCCATGCTATAAAAACAATTATAAAGAATGAATCTATTTTTTAATATATGCATATATTTATATGTATCTTACTTTAAAAGTTTATTTATCTACAGAGCCTATGATCAAGTTTCTTTAACACAGTATTTCTAATATAGACATGTCGTGAACTTTTTTGGTGGTATAGAAAATGCATAAAAATGTATATATTTTAATATATATAAAGCACACTTATTATTATCATAATATCTACTTTACAATATGTGGTTTTATATTTACCAGTTACGCAACTTGGTCTCTCGACTCAGAAATGAGTTATTTGATTGTTATAGCAATGTGGATATTACTTTGTGTATGTGTCTTGTTAGTATAACAAGACCACTCTGGTAATGCATTGTTTTTTATTTCTATTGTTTTGTTTTAGCTTTATATCGGTGATTCTCCCCAGGGGTAACAACTAGGTATATCTCCTCTCAATCACTATAACTCTCGATAGTTCAACTAGGTATACCTCCACTCTCTCTTTCTCTCTTCCTTTCTTCTTTCCCCCTCTCACTACTTCATGTTCTTTCTTTTACAATTTCTCTCTTTCAGTTTCTCTATCTTTCTTTCATTTTCTCTTTCTCATTTTCTTTCTTTCATTTATGTGAGTGATTTGAAAGGATTTTAACTGTTGCTTCTATAGTCTGAACTCACCACCATGACTAATGCAACTGTCTTGAATTCATTAATGAAAAGAAGAGTATGTGACAAAACAACAAATGGGGGTAAGATGTGGTTGAGATAAGTGAAAGAGTTTTTATTTCCTGTGATTTACAATCGATTAGTTGCTCATTCCAGGATATTGTATATCAGTCATGGTAGACTGTGAGTTTGTTTGGGGTATAACACAGGATAGTAGTTGAGATAGACTCACAGGAGAAAATAAACATGCATATGTATTCAAGTGTTAGCCTCTGCTGTTGCTAGTTTTGTCACAGGCTAAAAGCTTAATTGTTGATGGAAGGGCCTTGGTATTGCTGCTGAGAGCCTGGTTAAGTTTGCCTGTCATAGGTCCATCACTAATGCCAGCCAGGTTGGATCTGTCCTCATGGTTGAAATCAGCATTGACTTTATAGTGAGTCAGTGGCTTAGAAACAGCTGCTGTGGGGCTTTTCTGATTAGTCAGAAAAGATGTTTTATGACCCTGATATTTTTGGACAATCTTTCAGAAGAAATTAAAGTTTGTTTTTGTCATATAAATATCAAAGTGAGCACTATCATTTGAGTTAAAGAATTGAGGTTCCAACTGGGTGCGACAAGGTGTCTGCTGCAACTTGTGTTAAATGAAACTCCATAATTATTCAATAGTGAATGGAATATTATTTGCTTAGTTTACTATTCAGGAAATATTAAGTATAACTAAGAAAATAAATATCAATTTAAAGTTTTTGATAGTCTATAAATATAATGAAATTGCAAAATTACTTAAATATTGCCATCACTTTTTATAGCATGGGTCAACTATTTATTTACTAGTATAATACCTATAATAAAATAATGTATG